TGTCAGAAGTAATGAGGGGAAGGAAACCTGACACCTGCCTGACAGCAATAAGGTTAGCTCCTTAGTAAAACCGGCTCTTTTAAGGGATTGCCTGCTGTTTATGATTCCTGAGCCTTTGGGGCAGCTTCCCTCCCATGCAGATGAGTACCGCCAAGAAGGCCAGAATATCAGAGGAAAGAATTAGGGAAGCTTAAGCATTAAAGTTGCAAGATGGAGAGAGCTGGAAGCAAAGCCAGAACAGCTTAGAAGGCAGGCAGCAGCAGTGAAAGCTTTGAAAGTAAGACATGTTAAATTTACGGTAGGAACAGTTTCCTTTACATAGGAGTTAGTAAAGGAAATATTTCCTAGGGGTTGATTCTACAGAAACCTTCTGGTGTGTAGGTTAATTAAGTGTTCTGAGAATTACCTGATTAGGGCTTCACAACCAAACATCTTTTAAAACTTAACACCTAATAGGCAGTGAGTGACTTAAGAATAGGAAACTCAAAAACAAAATAGAAAGATTTAAAGTTTTTCCATGAGATTGAATTTCCATGTAACCTTTTGCTTATAGCTGACAACACCAGTCATTATCAGAGAATTGCAGAATCATTAAGGTTGGAAAAGCCCTCCAAGATCATCTGTTCCAACCATCCCCCTACTATCAATGTCACCCACTAAACCATGTCCCTAAGCACCGGGTCCCACCTTTCCTTATATGCCCCCAGGGACGGTGACTCTACCACTTCCCTGGGCAACCTGTTCCAATGCCTGACTGCTCTTTCTAAGAAATGTCTCCTAAATTCTAACCTAAACTTTCCCTGATGCAACCTGAGGCCATTCCCTCTAGTCCTATCACTAGTTACCTGTGAGAAGAGGCCAACCCCCAACTCCCCACCACTTTCTTTCAGGTTGTTGCAGAGAGTAGTAAGGTCTCCCTGAGCCTCCTCTTCTCCAGACTAAACACCCCCAGTGTCCTCAGCTGCTCCCCATAGGACTTGTGTTCCAAGCCCCTCACCAGCTTCGTAGCCCTTCTCTGGACACACTCCAGGGCCTCGATGTCCTTCTGGTAGTGAGGGGCCCAAAGCTGAACACAGCACTTGAGGTGTGGCCTCACCAGAGCAAAGTACAGGGGCATGATCACCTCCTTGCTCCTGCTGGCCACACTACTCATGATACAAGCCAGGATGCCATTGGCCTTCTTGGCCGCACTGCCGGCTCATGTTCAAGTGAGCATCAACCAGCACCCCAGATTCTTTTCCTCTGCACAGCTTTCCAGCCACCCTGTCCCAGGGCTGTAGGGCTGGGGTTGTTGTGGACAAAGTGCAGGACCCAGCACTTGCCTGTGTTGAACCTCATCCCATTGGCCTCTGCCCATCCTGTCCAGGTCCCTCTGCGGGGTCTTCCTACCCTCCAGCAGATCAACACTTCCCCCTAGCTTGGTGTTCTCTGCAAAGTTACTGAGGGTGCACTCAATTCCCTCATTCAAATAATCAATAAAGATATTAAAGAGGATGGGCCCCAAAACCAAACCCTGGGGAACACCGCTGGTGACTGGTCACCAGCGGGATTTCGCTCTGTTCACCATCACTCTCTGGGCCCAGCCATGCTGCCAGTTCTTAACCCAGCACAGAGTGTATCTGTCCAAGCCACGGGCTGCCAGCTTCTCCAGAAGAATACAGGGGAGAGACTGTGTCAAAGGCCTTGCTGAAGTCTAGGCAGACTACACCAACAGCCTTTCCCTCATCCACCAAGTGGGTCATCTGGTCACAGTAGGAGATGAGGTTGGTCAGGCAGGTCTTGCCTTTCATGAACCCATGCTGACAGGGCTTGATCCCCCGGTTGTCCCACATATACTGTGTGATTGCATTCAGATGACCAGTTCCATCAACTTTCCTGGCACTGAGGCCAGGCTGACAGACCTGTAGTTCCCTGGGTCCTCCTTACGACCCTTCTGATAGATGGGTGTCACATTAGCAAGTCTCCAGTCATCCAGGATCTCTCCAGCATGACTGATGATAGATGATGGAAAGTGGCCCCATAATCACATCCGCCAGCTCCCTCAGCACCCTCAGGTGGATCCCATCCAGCCCCATAGACTTCTGACAGTCTGGGTGGAGCAGCAGGTCTCTCTGTTTCCACCTGATCTGTGTGGGGGGGTTCTGCTACCTATCCCAGACTTCTAGCTTAGGAGGCTGAGTACCCAGAGCATAAGTGGTCTGGCTAGTAAAGACAGAAGTATAGAAGGTGTTAAGAACCTCAGCTTTTTCCATATCCTCAGTAGTCACATTCCCCCCCTGTGTCCAGTAAAGAATGGAGATTCTCTTTGGCCCTCCTTTTGCTGTTAATATATTTATAAAAACATTTTTTTTTATCCTTAACTGTAGTGGCCAGTTTGAACTCATTGGGCTTTGGTCTTTCATTTTTTTTTCTCTGCATATGCTAGCAGCTTCCTTGTACATGTACTCTGCCCAAGTTGCCTGCCCCTTCTTCCACCGATCATAAACTCTCTTCTTCTCCCAGATACTCAACAAAAGTTCCCTGTTCAGCCAGCTGGTCTTCCCCGCTGGTTCATCTTACGGCACACAGGGGCAGCCTGCTCCTGCTCCTATAAGACTTCTTGAGAAGCATCCAGTCTTCCTGGACCCCTCTGCCCTTTAGGATTAGGATTTACAGTTTAGTGATATGGTTTAGTGGAGGACTTGTTAGTGTTAGGTTGGACTAGGTGATCTTGGAGGTCTCTTCCAACCTAGATGATTCTGTGATTCTGTGACTGACTCCCAAGGGACTTTCCCTACCAGTGTCCTGAACAATTCAAAGTCTGCCCTCCAGAAGTCCAAGCCATCTACCAGGATGGCCTTGAACAGTTTTATAATTTGCTTTGCTTCTGCGGTTACTCTGCTAAGAACAGTTTGGTCTACTGTAACGAGGGGGAAGAGCTAGAGGAAGCTAAGTAAGCACCCAAAGGTGTTTAGGTATTTGTCCTCTTATCCAGGAAGTAAGACAAATACTTCCTCAAACCCCAGTTAAACCCATGGCCCCTGCTAGGCACTGGAATCTGTGGTATTCCCAGACAGTAACTATTGCCAGCTCAGAGCTCACCTGGCTACAGCACCTCTGCTCATGGGCAGTGCAGGAGCAGCAAAGGCAGGTGTGTGTGAGAGAGGGGGAAGAAGCAGCAGTACCTCGGCTTCAGGTGGGCTGCTTGCTGACAAGCTAGAGGCATTTACTCCTCAGTATGTGTTGTGCCTCCCAAAGAGTTTCATTTAGGAAAGCTGGAAAAATAATTCAAGAAGTTTCTGTGCTGCCTTGAGCTCCGGGAAGCAGTTACTCCTTCTGTCTCCAGATTAGACAGAAGAAAGCTCCTTCAACCCCATCCTGCTTGGGCATATCATACAAGGACATGTTCTGTCTTAAAAAATAAATAAATAAATGCTATCACATAGTAATGGAAATACAGAAATACAGTAATTTATGGAAAACACCAAAGTCAGCATTGTGTGCACAGCTTGACATATGATTTTTTTTTTCTGTCTGTAGCAAGACAGAATTGTAGAGCATGCTTGTCCTTACAGGGCTCCAGTGGTCCTCGCTTTTGTTGCCACAGGCTAGTACTGCTGTGTTCCCTGACTGACACTTTTCCCCAGACTTGTTTGCATAGCAGTAGTAGAAGCCTGTGAGAAGCTCGCAGGGCCAGAGCGAGCATTTGCTGTTTTTTAATGGTCTGAAACATTAGGGCATTTAGAGGAAATCCAGTAAACATCTTTAAAATCAATAGCTAAGGGTAAGTGAAGTTGAAATGGGGAAGGAAATGGATTAATATTGGTGTAGCACGGCCCTTAAAAACATAGTGGCATTATTTCCAGTAGAGTAATTACTGGCATCAGGCTCTGAGCCAGCCTTAGACCACCCCTGAGTCTTGAATCATGCCCACCAAATTTTCTCCTGCCACCTCAGCTGGATGAGGTAGATGCTACAGTTTGCTCTGAACAGTTTTTATCTAAGATGTCTGCATGAGTGGCACTATGCAAATATTAGTTATTGTTCTCCAAACGTTTGTACTTAGAGTGGTAAGGAGAAAGCCCCTGTTGGGGTGCAGCCTAATGAGATGTTAATAGAGCAGTGGGTGAATGGAAGTATAAGTGCAGCGGGGGTTGTGCTAAGGAGCTCAGTTGACAAAAGAACTGTAAAAATGTGGAGCTCTCTGCACTGAACCAAAATCTGAAATATTTTTTTTTTTTTTGTTCAGTGAGGGAGGGCTCATTAAATAGCCATGTTTTCAAATATGTGCCTGCTGTTGAGAATAGGGTCCTGCTCTCTGTTCTGCAGTTACAGGATTTCATAGTCACAGAGAAAAAGGATGAGGTGAACAAATCCATGGTGTGACTATGAAGGACAGACTGGGGAAGGAGAATAAATTAGAATATTATGTGACTTTTTAAAGCAGCAGCCTGTCACTTCATTTAATGCAGAATGAACTGAAATGCACAGCAATGTGAAAGAAAGAAGAGTTACCCTAATAAAAGAACATTAAAAAAAAAAAAAGACAGGACCTGACTGACAAGCTTGCTTCTATACAACTGCTGTGCTGTTTGGACATCGAACTTTACAAGCTCCATCAAAACATGAGTAAATTGGGTAACTGTGTATACACACCATCATTTGGACACAGCTCCCCCACCACTTTCATACCCCTACCTCCATGCTGGAAGTTGCAACAGGGAGCACAGACTAGGTGCATAAGGGAGAGCATAGCTTTATCTTTGAGAGCTGTTAGGCTCATATGGGGGACTTATAATAAAAAGGGAACTGCTCTAACCATTTCTTCAGGGTGACAGTATCAGCTTTTATCATGTTGTACAACTATCTCAGAGACAGCTTACAATTTGGACCAAATAACACCTGTATTCTTCAACACTTTTCCTGTAAAGGGGTATCAAATGCTACAGTATTACAGTCACAATGTCTGCCTCACCATCTGATTCCATGAGCCACCAAATAAATTTCCAGAGCAGACTCACCTGATGGGAGTGCAATGGAGATGTTAGCATTTAATTGTGCTTCCTGCAGAGCAAAGCTTAGTGAGCTCTCGGTGAAGGTGACAGACAGCAAGAGGCAGGGAAGGGCACAGGTCAGCTACCTTCCTGGGTAGGTGACTTCTTTTTCTCCTGAGGAAACATCTGCGGTGGTGGGTCTGCATGGGGCATGCACAGCTGTAGTCTCAGCAAGGACAAATGTCTGGAAGAGAAAACAAACAGAGAATAAAACTGGATAAAAATGCAACTGATGCCACATGAAGATAATCAACCTCTGCAGCTGTTGTAGCTTGGAAGGCAACCAAATAAAAAGCTTTTCGGATATTTTGCTTTTGGCTTTTTCCTCCTCTAACACCAACCTGCTTCTGAAAAGAAATCCCTACTTTTTGCCAATCACAAGGAAAAAAATAGGTCCATGTGTGTATGTGCAAAGAAGGTATCTAATTTACACGCAAAATTGATGTAGTTGCAAATGCAAATTGAATTCTTGCTTCTGAAGGTAGCTGAATTTAATCACATATATATATACACGTATAAATATGTGTCATTTTGGAAAAATCTATGCAGTGCCAGTGCCTACTCCAACCTTTTGAATATATCAAGAGCCCTCTTGTCCTGACTATCCCTTTCCCATGTCAATAGCAACTCATGGCACACCTACATATGTACGAATACCTACACTAAATATCCTTATGTGCTTTGCTACCCAGAATTGGACCAAAGATCCCTTTTAAGCCTGTGTATATTTAGGACAGACACCTAAAATCAGTTTGGTGGATACTGAACTGAAGGATGCCTGAAAGCAGTTCATTCCACAGGCACTCAGCAACTTTTCCCTATGAAATTTTCAAGTCCGTTTGTGAACTCAAAAGGAGACATGCCCAACTGCTCAGAACTCCACAGCAGCAAACACCACTGCAGAGCTCTGTGTTGTAGGGAACAGGTCTTTGGATTTTCTAAGGAGAGCCCCCATCTTACATCTCAATTGACATTTCCCACTCTTCTGTGTTACTTGGCAACATCATGCAATCTGTAAAGCCATTTTAGCAATTCCAGCCTAATCTAATTTACCAGTGACTCTTCTATGAACACTTCAGTTTGAGATTACTGCCTAGACAAGGAATTTTCCTACAAACCTTGCAAGGGAAGACTTTAGTCTGGGAACCTCTGAAAGCACCTCTGTAGTGAAAAACAGTGAACAGGGGCCTTTAGTTTTTCGGTAATATTCCATTCCTTTATGTTTAACCATTAGCCATAGTAGGAATTATTTGCTACTGACAACCAAATAAATGCAAAAAGACTCATGCTCCATCAGACAGATAAATCAATTCCCATACTCTCCATCAGTCAGTGGGATGAGTTTGGGAAAAAGCTGCTTACTCCCAAGGATCCACATAGACCTCTTTCTCAATTTCCATACTAGGCAATACTTATTCTGTTTCTGAAATAGCTCCTGAAACACATTGTGCAAAGTGTAAGTATAGGGAACCTTAAAACTTCACAGTGACCTTCAGGTTCTGCATGATAAATCTCCTGAGAGAGTAGGGTTCCTGTCAAGAGATCCAACCACAAAATAGCAATGCACAGTGAAGGTGCCTTTAGACAGGGTCACAACAAAGAGTGTAAATTTATGTTTTTAACTATTCTGTTTTTTGTCTTTTCTCTTTAAAGTGGATATACAGAAAAATTATTAGGCAATGCAAGAAAGACCAGGGTTTTTCATCCACCACAGTACAGCACATTATCTTCACCACCAAGGTCCTTTGCAGTGCCATTCTTCCTCCCCTCACTCCTCCAAGACCTCTTGATATACAGCCCAAGGACTGAGGATTGCCCGTGGTGGCAAAGTGACAGCCTGGTGTGTGCTGGACTCTGCAAGGGACCAACGTGTACACTCCTGTGGTTTGTGAAGCATCCCTGACTCAGTCCCTGCTGCCTGCCCGTTCCAGGTGTGGCACACCTTTCCATCTGGCACTGCTCCACCTGGAGCAACTGGGCAAGGATGGGCATTGAACACATGATGGCAAAGAGGAAAAGAAAAGGTAGCCAGTACATTCTTCACTAAGGAATGCACCAATTCCCAAGCAGCACTGTAGCACTCATCTGAACCTTCCTAGATATTTTCCTAGTCGTCCAAAGGAGATGCTTCCCCTTTCTGCCTCCTCCCTCCCCAAATTTTAGGAAAAAAATGATGTAATTAAGAGCAATTATTTGTGAAATGATAGTTGTAAAACCACAAATTCCTTATGAAACAAAAGGAAAAACACCCATTACCTTATGGACTTGGGTCTGGAGTTGTTTTGTTCCTGGAGGCTGAGGATAGAGTAGAATTCAAAACAGAATCTGTACAAAATAGCTGGTTTTGCCTTGTGTTTGCACCTATATAATTTGAAGAGTTCCTTAGGAACTAGAAATCATACACCAAGGACATGTTAGCAAATCATCTTGTTGTGCTCATCCCAGTATTCTAGCTGGAATTATTGCTGCTCTGCAAAAATATTTACTCCAGTAAAAAAATTATATATATATATAAATAATCTTCATGTGCTGGGCTCTCACATTGCTCAGTAGATTTTACTGAGCAGATGAGACCAGCTCATGTAGGCTATAACACTGGAGCTCATCATCAGAGGCAGTGTAGATGAATGTATATGAATGAAGGTGCATGAACACTTGAACAGGTCCATGCAGAAACATCTTCATGTAACTTAAAATAGGAGAACACAATCAGTTAACCTCTCATGTTTTATGAACACTAGTTCTTAAATTGTAGAGCTGTTTGTTCTAACTCTAGGCTTTGCTAATGAGCCCATCTGTGATGCGTGACACATGCAGTTTTGCCCTAGTGTTTCTATTTTACTGTGGAGTTTCATAAGTATGTAGCAGAAAGCCATAGAGAGGCCATGCAAAAAACTTTCTTCTGGTTGCAGACCCGTTGCTGTGGAACACAATTCTGAGTGTAGCTCAGTGTAAGACTAGACACATGGGTGAACTACTTAATTTTCAGAGTTGAGGCTGTGAGTTTTGGCTGAGACAGTTACCCAGTGGGAGATTAACAGGAGTAAGACTGCAAGAGTTAGTAAATGAACCTGCAGTCAGCTCTGGCCAGCAATGCCCTGCAAACCCCCCTGGGGCTGTGGAAGATGCAGCCAGCAGGCTGCACTGGCTGGTTAGCAGGATACTACTGAGCAGTATCCGTTAGTACTTCACAATTCATAAGTACTTCCCAATTTCATGGAGGAGAGATGGGACTTCAGGTTCTTGGATTTCCAGCTGAGCACTCCACTCACTTTTTAACATACAAAAATGAGGAAAAGAGTCTATTTACTACAAATACAAGAAAGAGGGTCTATTTGCTACCAATAGTGTTTATTGATTGACAACTATATAAAATGAAAATCAAAATTTAATTCACTAGAGGAGAACAAGTGCACACTTTTAATGCAAGAATAATACTAGTATAAATCAAACCTAAATTTGAACCATGCTATTACTTGAAAATAACTGTCCGACATCTATTTGATCTACAGTCAAGAAGCAGAAAAAAAAACATGCTTCTGAGAAATAAGGTTATTTCTAATTATTTTCTTGTAAAAGTATATTTCATCACTGTGCAAGCAGCTTGTTTGATAAAGCAAAGAAATACAACAACTCAGAGCTCATTTATTTTGGACTCCAGCAATATTTTGCTAAAATTATGGTAGCTCTCATTTTTCAGACTACCTGCATAGTCTCTTGAGTTAAACACTTATTAGTATGAAAAACTGTCCAGAAAACATTAAACAATGCTTCTGAATATAAAGTATTTCATGAATATGTAAATCATGCCTGAATGTGACATTTGGGTTGTCTGTGAAACACTGATAGACACAAAACATTAAACTCAATCAAAGATGAGGACAATTTAACTTAATACTTTCCTAGTGTTGAAGATGAAGCTCTGGGTGTTAATGGCTGCGTATTATGCTTCAATTCATAGTTAAAACAAAATATCCGTAACTCACCATAAGCATGAATACAGGCAAAGTGTTGAAAAGAAAAAAAATAATTTGAGATCAAGGCAAAGAGCAGATCTGCAGGAGCTTGGCACGTTCATCTCCAACAGTAACCAAATAAATCAGCTTTGCCTTTTGTGTCTTAGGCTGCTCTGCCATGGTTGTTGGTGCTGAAATCTGCCCAGCAGCTGCCAAGGCCTCCAGAACATGCAGCGATTCTGCATGAGACTGACCAAGTCAAAGCCCTTCTCTCCCAAACTGCTTCTCCTTACCTAGTCAGAAACTCCTCTCCTGGTGCACCTACCCTGCCTTCTGTGAGGAGGGAGTCCAACGCGCCACTTCTGCGTAGAGCCACAGGATGCCAGAAGTAACTTACACCTAAAAGCGGTGAAATTGCATTAGCACAGTACACGGCTGGAGCTAATAAGCCTGGCGCTTGGCAAGTCTAATGAGCTTGGCTTGATGCCATGCTAACAGCAGCAGTTCAGACTCCAGTTACATCAGAGTGTTTGCGTCTGCCTCCAAGCCTGCCTAGATGTGCCTGTGTTGGCAAGCTCTGCCTTAGGTGGTTCAGGAAAGACAGACTCTTGTAGCTGCTTTGGGCTCCAAAATACACTCAATGCCAGAGCTTGTAGGAGTTTGTAATCAGCACTGTATCCACTGCTGCTGTCTTCCCATCATTCCCACCATTGCCATTCTGGCAATTATAATAAAGCAATTTGCAAAGTACAGGGTAGCAGTAAGGTGGTCATCACACAGTACTATAATGCTGCAATCTGAAAGAGGAAAACTATCACCTCTGGCAGGGGGCAACCAGCCCTCCAGATTAGGACTATCAGTTTGCTCTGTTGGTTTGGAGATGAGGAAAAGGGTTTGTTTTCCTGAAGCTGGACATCAGCTGCTTCAGAGAGCTGGACAAATGTATTCTCCCAGGATGAGCTCTTAGGAACGCAGATGTAGTCAGTGGTTAGACTGATGGATTATGGCCTGACTGTGAGGCAAACAGACCTCAGAAAAAAAGCCACACGTTTGAACTGCATTTTTGTTTTTCAAAATTGAATGGACCAGAACTAAGTGTAGTGTCCAGATCTCCCTCAAGCTCAGCATCTCAGCATCTCTTATATGTGCTTTATTGTCCAATATAGTCCTGGAGGAACCAATTTTCAGGGCTTTCACATGCACAGAATCACTTTGAAAGTATCAAAAATGACATTTTCCTAGTCAAGTCTCATTAAACTCTAAGACAGACTCTTAACTTAGTTTATTTCTGTGCCCAAAGGCATTTTTATTTCAATTTGCCACTAGCAATGTAATTCTCTGATTCTCCTCATCTTGGGAATCACTACCGAGACAGAGCAAGTTACAGATACATTTGCTGGAATTGACAGGAAGGAAGGAAGGCCAGATGAGCAAACAAATGTCCACCCAAGCTGAAACCTGCTCTGTGTAGAACATTCACTCAGGAGGTATATATTTAAACCAGATTATACTCCTTCCTAAAACAAATTAAAGCAAATTCAGAAAACTGTTACCCTCACGTGTGTCCACAGATGGCCCTAGCCTTGTGTCATCACGATGGAGCTAAAATGCAGCAGCAGATACACTGAACTACATTAAGAAACCAGGTTTGTTTTTCTCATCTGTGGCTACTGTGAAGTTAAAAACTATGATCGCCACACTTAGCTTCACATTCTGTCATTGGGGTTTGGTACAGATGCATTTGTAAGTGAGAACGGATGACTAAATGATTTTGGTTTTTTATTTCTTGGCATTTTCTGCAGCTATTTGTCTCTGAAAAAAACACTGGCATCACATTATCATCATAACTTGTGCATGCAGAAGGCATAGCACAACAATGAAGCAGTCCCAATAAGGTACATACAGCTGCTGTTGGGCTGATATACAAGTTACAAGCAAACATTCTTTCCGAAGACCTGAAGCATGATAGTGGCTGCTAATGGGAAAGTGTGGTAGACAGTTTTTCCCATCATTAGTTTTCCACATTGGTGTTTGGCAGATAGAAAATGAAAAGTTAATATACCAATCAAATCTTTCTGCTGAACATGTCAATTTAAGCTAGAGTAACACTTTCTGGGAATGAAATCAGAGCCCAATGCCTTTTTACATTTAATATTTTGAGCTTGAATTTCAGACCAAGTCAGCACTCTTATCCCTCATGCTATGAGGGTGCTTTGGTGTTAAACTGGAGGCACATGCATGTTCAGATTTCTGTCACATCATTGGTTTGGTTGTTATTATAAATTCTTTTATGTTTCTAGTACATTATCTGTTTTACAAAGGACAAACTTCAGATACTCTAAGCAAAAGATATGAAAGGTAACAGTGCTGGTTCCCTTCTCTAAAACACACCGCTCATACTTCAGAGAGAACTAGAACTTCAGCAGCAAACAGCCAGAACTTGAAAGTTAGATTAACAGTAAGGTATTCTTATTCAAACATGATCAAATAACTCCCTGTGCAATCAGAACATATAAATTGCACACCATATTTATTTAGATAGAAGTGAATCCCAATATTTAGGGGGTGAAATAAAGTCAGTGTAATATTTGGGCCAAAGGATTTCTAAAAACAAATGCGCACAGTCTTCTGACACCTTCCACAAGGGACTGCTTTCTCACCTCTTGCTCTACTACCTAATGGAACTTGAGAGGTAATGAAGCCCAGTGCAGTCTGGTAATTTCCTCGATGTAACAGGTCAAAGCTAGGACAGGTAAGTAAAAGCCAATGTGTAATACACAACAAGATGTCTGAGAAGAAGTTACTATGTATACATGATATGAGAGCACGGGAATATATTTCCTCTTTAGCCTCAGTACCTGAATACTTTCTTCACAAAACTCTATGATGTCCTTTAACACTGTCATGTCCCATTATGCATCTCATTAATTCTTTGAGATAATGGTGGCATTTTTCTTTTTTTTCTTATATTTTCCTTTGTTTTGTTTAAAAGCTCAACAGAGACAGGACATTGGAAATTAATACAGAACAAAACACTTTTCTCAGCAGGTCTCAGCTGTGTGGCAGTTTTATAAAAAATATAATACAAGAGCCTTAAAAGCAAAATGAAAATGGATATTTTTCTAGTTGCTAGGTTAGAGTTTTCTTTTTGCATTCATTTAAATGTAAGTAGGAAAAGACTTCATATGCATTGTTCAGTCTAGATGACTGAAAATCTTACACAGAAAAAAAGCTTATTGCTTTAAAATTGCATTGCAGGTATAGCTGATTAGTTTGTTTTATTCAGTACACTTTCTGTTGATTTAGTCAATCTGTTCTGCATCCTGTTTTTGGTCCTGTAAGTGTTGCAGAATAGCTCAAGCTGTCATCCAAATAAAAAACACATCGATTATGTTTGTGAGCAAACCCTTCCCTCAAGCAGCAGTATAGAGATGAACCAAGAGCAGAACAAAAATCTAGAAGGAGAGTTGCTGAAGCATAATGATAGCCAAAAGAAAGCTCCCTATCTGTGCTGAACCTCATACATTGTAGAAATAGTCAACTCAAGAGATTTTGTTCTGTTATCTACAACAGACTGTCAACAAGCAAAATACATGCTAAATCTGCTATCTGGCAGAAGAAGAGTAACCCTGATTTTTTGGAAAAGACTAAGACACCAACTGTAAAAATCTCTTAAGATTTTGAAGCAGCCAAGATGTTCATGCAGCCATACAATTTTCTTTTGATCTAGTACCAAAGACCAAATATATTTAAGTACTAAATTCCAGAGAAGTAGCTTTGCCCATTGCTAGATCATTCACACTTCAAATAATATCACACTGATGGCCAAGGGATTTGAGCACTAGCTGAGTGTGGGTATCAAGAAGGTAGTACATGAATGAACCTGGGGACATTTCATTTTGGTGCTCAAATTCACACCAGATTTGACAGAAGCACTTTGCCCTGCGTATCTCTTAAGACTACACTTGCAGATTTTGTCTGCTTTTTCCTCACTAAAATAATCTTTTGAATGGTGGTTCAGCTGGATAAGGCTCTGCTCTCATAATGGCAATGTAAGCCTAATGCCTTTCATCGAAGCATGACGCCATAGAATCATTTAGGTTGGAAAAGAACTCCCAGATCATCAAGCCCAACCGTTAAACAGTTTCCATTCACTTTGTTACAGATCCTTTGCTTTACACTAGCACAGCATTAAAGCAAGGCTACAGCATGAGGTATCCAATGTGGTACTATTCTACAATAGAGCATTACAGGTACTTGTGTAGTTCAAAACCTATTCAAGGTGTTGGTATGACATTCTGAAGTAAACTGGTAGGTAATTTAAAGAACGAAGTCTGGCAGCTGAAATCATGCACCAGGACTAAATTCTCTAAAAAAGTAACAGAATTTAATCAAAAGCTATGTGAGAAGTTTGTCTGAACTGGGATACATGCTTCTCATTTTTCCGTGCCTAAGGCAGTGCACTAACGTAAAAAGGAAAAGCCTGTTACTTAGAGTATCTACTGGTGTGTTTTTATAAGAGACTATTCTGCTCCAACACATGTTACAGAAATGTCTCACATGTAGTTCCTCTATAACTGTATAGAAACTATTGAAACATGGGAGAGTGATAGCTCTGAGGGTTCTTTGTGTGTGTGTATTTTCTTGTTAATCACACTGTCATTTGTTGAAGGATGAATTCCAAATAATAAGGAATGATTTCAAATCAATACAGGTGATGGAGAAAAAAAAAGAATGGAATGCAGAAACCACTTAGCAAACACAACCCGAGCAAATAGTCCAAAACCCCTGTAACGGTAGTTTTTGTGGTCTTATTCCCTTGCACCCTTTCCACTCTGTTGGAAATACGTGGTTTGGTTATACTTGAGGGAAGATAAGGGAAGGACAGGATACATACAATTTTTCATTTTAAAACCTTCAAAAACTTACAAATGGGTTATCTGTATCATCTGAATAATGCTTAGAAAAAAAAAAAAAAACTTTTTCAAATCTTAAGTTTAAAATAAATAGTTAAATAAAATAGCTCATAAAGGTAACCAAAGATGATAGTTTAATAATTTCCTAGGATATTTCTACAATGTAATATTGAGACATTTTACAGAAACAAACTCTCAAGAAAAGTTTAGTTTCATTTGCAATCATGTTGAGTTGCTATCTCAGGAGAGACAATGTCTTGTATGTTTAGGTTAGGTCGTCTCCTAATAAAAGTGAAAATTAGAACCAGAAGCCCACCACAGCAGAAAGGTTTTAATATCATTATTAGATACAAATGCAAGTGAATTAATTTCTTTTTATAGGGTTGTTTCAGAATTATATAAGAAGAAGATGGCCTTATAAAAATTTTCAATTAAGCCAAAGCATGACAAAGAATGGAAAGATGGAAAGCAGATTTTGCTGAG